CCTTTCCTTTCCGCCCCACAGTTAGCAAGTATCAACCAAAAGAGAGAGGATGGATGAGAAGCCACTTTTATCAAGCACCTCTGGTGTGCCAGACAGTTGCATTATTAACTTGCAACAGCTTTGTGAGAAATGGGTATTAGCTCCATTTGACAGATGAGAAAACTGAGTCTCAGGTGAAGTAATGTCAAAAGTTACTTGTCAGGGCTAATAAGACATGGTCCTCACATCTCATGGAGGAGACAGACATGTGGAGGTCCCTCTGGAGGTCGGGTTCAATAGAGGGTTAGAGGGCAGACATCTGCACAGGCTCAGGGGACACAGAACAGGGAGAGGGCATCAAGAAAGCTTCCAAGAGGAGGTGACCCTTGACATGAGTCTTGAAGGATGACTCGGCTTGATCAGGCAGATGGGAGTGGTGGGTGTGCAGATAAAGGGCCCTTAGGGAGCAATGGGCGGTAGAGGGGGAGGGCAGAAAAGAGGAGGAAGCTGCGAGGCCAGCAGGGTTCAGACCCTGATGGGCCTCAAGCACTGAGCTAAGGGTCAGGGCCTTTATCTTGTGGGTAGGGAGAGCCCCTGAGGTGGGGGTGGGGATGGGGGGTTAGCCAGGGGACAGTCAGAGTTGGCAGTTCATCTTAGAGAACTCACTGGTGAGTGTGGAGGTTGCACTGGGCTGATTGGAGTCTCCAAAACCCAGCTGCAGTTATCCAGGGGAGAGGCAGGGAGACCCACCTCTCATGCAGGCGCCCATTCACTCTCTTCAGACATTTACTGAGCACCTAATAAGCCCCAGGCAGAGGGGAGTGGTCCTGCCCTCCAGGGATTTAACACTGCACTAGTATCGCTGTGGGGATTCAGCGGACTAGACTAGGAGAGACATGGTACTAAGAGCTCTCACTGTATACCATCACTCTTTACATGTCTAATTCACTGAGTTCTCCCAGTAACCCCACCGGGCACCCAATTCCATTAAGTCTGTTTTGCCACGTTGGCCAAGACTAAGAAGTCTTAGCTGAGTTCCAACTACTCACTGTCTCTCAGTTGGAGCTGGGATTTAAACTGTGAGTGACCTGGGGCTGGGCACACGCACATCCCCAGGGAAGGATCCAGAGGGTAGAGGTGACCAGGCCATGGGTCCTTCGCCAGGGAAACCCTAGATACAAGCAGTAAGCCCACCAGACGAGCTGAGCAGGCCCAAGGAAACCAAATCCAAGATCCAGGGTCTTGCCTGCAGGGCATCCCTCACGTGGTCCACTAGGGGAAGGACACTCCAGGAGAGACTGCATAGGATCCCAGCAGAGTGACCCCTTATTTAAGGCTGGGGAAGCCAGGAAGAGTTTCCCGGAGGGGGTGGCATTTGAGCCATCACTGAAAGAATAGAAATTTGTGATTTACCATGTAAAAGTTCAGATTTCTGTCTTTCCTCTAAAAGCAAGCCTGGCTGCTTGGATCATCATTTCGCAGGGTAGCCACGGGCTACGGTTAGCCAAGATGGCCCCTTCCGAGACTCATGCTTTCTTGCCCTGTCCCATTGGGCTACAGGCCCCTGCATCCACCTTGCCTGCCCAGAGCACTTGATTCTCCAACAGGCCTGTGGCAGGGAGGACTGGGATGATCGTTCCCACCTGACAGGAGAGGAAGCAGGTTCAGAAGGAGAGAGCAGGTCTAGAACTATGAGTAATTGTCCTACTTCCCCAGATCTCTGAGAGGGGGTCCCAGGCAAGGGGAAGGGCATGAGCAAAGGTGTGGAGATGAGCGAGCTCAGGATCTGCGGGGCACACACAGGGCTGTGAGGCTGGAACTAAATGCTGACAAGTGGTGGCGGCTGCCCTGATGCCACCATTATGCCCTCGGCCCTGAACTATCTGAACCATCCCACAGAACTCTAGGAGTGTGACTTCTACACCAGGCTCTGTCACCAAGTCACTGAGTGGTTTGGGGCCACTTGCTTGAGCCTGATTCTCTTCTATAGAATGGGGATAATGATGGCCGCCCCTTCCTACATCCCAGGCATGCTGTAAGGATAAATATGCTAACGTGCGTACAAGGAGGGTGGATTTTCCCTCTTGGGGAAAGGGGGGCTGTTATTACCTCCGTTACTAAGAGCCCTTCTGGCTTCAACCACCCTCCTCACCCCCCACATAAGAGGGGGGCTTTTCCCCACAGTCCCCTTCGCTCCTCTCTGCCACCTCCTTGCCTCTGCAGCCGCAGCCCCTTCCTCTTGCCTCCTTCCAATCATCTCTCCTTCCAAGACACTTGCTACTGCCCACCAGCCCATGCCATCCAGAGGCCCAGCCAGGCAGCTCCAAAGCCAGGAGCTTTGAGCTCTGAAAGACTTCAGAACAACCCACCCAGCACCCTTGCTTCCTCCCCTCATGCCTTCCACCCCAGCCTCACCGTTCCTGTCCCCTCAGCCTGAAACACTCTTCCCCCAGAACAGCAGGCTCATTCCCTCATCTCCTGTCAGTCTTTGCTCAAATGTCACCATCTCAGTAAGGCCTTCCCTGAGCACCTTGTTTAAAATGTAATGTCTCCCACACCCGCACTTCCAATCCACTTCCCTGCTTTACTTTTCTCCTCAGCACCTACTACCAGCCAACATACTCCATATTTTCCTTATTTATCTTATTTGGGGTCTGTCTTTCTCCACTGAAGAAAAGTGTAATGTAAGCATCACAAAAGCAGGAGATTTGGTCTTTTGTTAACTGATGTATCCTCAGTGCACACAACCAACAAAGTAGGGGCTCCATAAATATTTAATGAATTTTGGGGAGTGTCACCCTGAGTTGGCTCTAGGTTTTACTGACTGGTGGGCGCTAGAGGGCTGGGACCATACTCTCTGTTTCAAACCCAAACCAAGCACGCACCCCACCCCAGGCTCAGAAGGGTCAAGTAACTTTCTCAAGATCACGCAGCCAGGAAGTGCTAGAGCCAGATATTGAACATGGATCTCACTAAGCAGAAAGCTCATTATTCTTGTTAAGAGAACCAGAATGACCTTTCAGGGGTCTGTCTCTCCCTCTGGTCAGTAGGCCCCTTATCTCGGAAGGAGCCACGTTTTATTCATGTTACTGTCTCCCCAGTGCCCAGCACAAGCCCAGCATATACTAGGCACATGTGAATGTCTGAGTGAATTAGCAAATAAAGGTGCTCTGTAGTGACTCATGGAGTCAGACACACCAGGGTTTAGTCCTGGCTCTGCCACCTAATAGCTGTGTGACACTGGCAAGTTAGTCAATTTCTCTGATCTTTAGTTGCTGTGAAATGGAGATGTTGGAACTTACTCCTTCAGGTTACTATGTCCTCATTAACGTAAAGGTGTTGGAAGAGGAGCTGGCATATGGACAGTGTAGAAGAAATGTTAGCATAAAAAGTGGGGGAGCTATGCATTTTATGAGTGAGCTTCACGTCAGTGGAAATGTGCAGATGGAGGTTGAAAACCCCTAGGCAGAGCTGTTTGAAGGTCCCTGCGGCCCCGACTGCAGTAATGATCACACTGCTGCAGTTTTAGTTCTGCACATCCATTCAGCATTTACTAGGTGCCCAGAACTGTTCTGATGCACTTCTTTTTACTTGCCACTATTTCATTTCATCCTCACAGGTACTATTTATACTATCCCCATTTTACAGATAAGGAAACAGGCACAGAGAGGTTATAGCCCAAGGTACGGGCCAAAGCCATCCTAGGAGGCTGTGGCCGGAATATACCACGGGAAAGAGATCAGAAGGGGCCAGATCCCCGCGTGCCAGCCCCCTCCAGGGCCCCTGGAGACCCAGGGCGAGCGAGGGACGGGAGCTGCCCAGGCTGAACGTGCGGCAGTCCCGCGCTCCGAGGCATTTGGGCGCCGCCCGCCTCTGCCCCACCCCTTGTTCTCGGCTTGTCCAACCCCACAGTCTTCATGTAAATGAGGCACCTAGGGAGAGCCAATGCGAGAGTGGCAGGGGCGTGGTCTTCTGTCCACCTCCCGGGCAACGCTCTGATTCACTGTTCAAATAAGGAGGCCGTGACCCTGGCCCTCCCACCCCGGTCGCCCCCTGGCATGGAAACCTGAGCCCAGGTTAGTACTGGGCAGCGGAAAAGAGGGGATGGAAGGGGAGGCCTGCGGGAGGGGTGGGGGTCAAGGGCTGGAGGGGAGAGGGCCAGGTCTCCGTCCTCCGGGTGTGGCATGTGTATCTGCTTAAGGCTCTAAATTTTTATATCCACGTCTAAAGTGCATTCCAGAGAAGGATTCTGCCGGTAGGTTGGGGGTGGGGGTGGGGGAGAAAACGGGTGCAGCGAGGGGCACGTGGAGCCCCCACCCGTCCCCAGGAAAATGAGCGGCGTTTTCCTTCTGAGGCGGCGATGCTCCTTTATGTGGCCGGACCGGGAAAGCACCGCCCAGGCTGTGCGGGACCGATGCGTCCCCGCTCCACCGCCCGGAGCTGGGAACGACGCGAGGAAATGACCACCCAGGAAGGATCCGAGACTCCGGGGCCACGGTGGGGCCAGTGGGTGCCTCACCCTCCACCGTGCCCTGCCCCCTCCCCGTTCCCCTCTCCAGGTCTGATGGGGGAGGAACGGGGAGTCTTCACCCTAAGCTGCCCCAGGGGAGGACATGAAATTTCTCAGCTCTCAGCTGAGATTGACAACAAAGGCCTGACTCCCAAGGACGCTTTGGAGGAAACTCACCAGGTGAGGACAGGCATGGGCAGGTGACCTGGGGCACCACAAGGTGTGCGTGTGTGTTTTGGGATGATAGATTCCTCCCAACCCCTGTCCTCCTCTTGGGGCTTTGTATGAGTCGGGAGGGCATCCCCAGGGACACCCGGCAGGGAGAGCCCTGGGCTCAAGTCAAGACAACATGGTTTCTTTTTGGCTAAGCTCTGCCACAAATTTTCTGTGTGACCTTAGGCTGTTCATTTTTGCTTAAGACTCTGTTGTCAACTCTGAAAATACCTGGCTAGCCCTTTGCCTCACTCCCTGTGTTTCCCAAGGAACCTGTGAGAGTTGGCAGTGTGATCCAGTACTCACACCTCGCTTCCACCTCTGAGATAGTGGGGAGACACACAGACCTCGATCTGAATCCAGCTCGGCCACTGTGACCTGAGTGAGTTAGGGAACCTCTCTTGCCTGATCTGAAATTGTCATTAATTTGATCTACAATGCAGGCAAGGGCATTCAAACTTTGGAGGGGCACTGGAATCACATAGGGGACTTGTTTAAAATGCACACCCCCAGGCCTCGCCCCTGGAGATTCTGCCTGGGTGGATCAGGAGAGGGACCTGGGAATCTGCATTTTTATGAGCAGCCCAGAAGTGTGTCATGCAGGGTCCTTGGAGCACTCTGAGCAACACTGCAGTAAGGACTAGAAATCACACAACAAATGCTCTGCCTGGGTGCTTAGTAGGTGCTTAGTGAGTATTTGTTGAGTGAATAAATGATAGATAAATGGATGGATAAACATATCTTTGGTCCTTGCCTGGCATATCAGTCTGGCCTGTTCCCCAAGACCATTTTGTCTCCATAGTCCTTTGAGCCTAAAATAGAAGGGTTGGCCCCAGAGGCTTCTGCAATGCTTCCAGGGCCCTTCCCCGCTTCTCTTGATAACCCCTTTCTTTTGTACTAATCTTCCTGAGCTACACCCTTGCTTTTGCGGCCAGGCTGAATGTTTTCCAATTTTTTGCCCTCTGCTTCTCTTTTAATTATATATTCTAGCTTTATGTCATGCCTTTTCTGACACAACTCAGCATAGGCTGTTGCAAGTAGGCATGCAGCTTTCTGAATGCTTTTGCTGCTTAGAAATTTCTTCCACCAAATACTCTGGTTCACAACTGTTAATTTCCAACATCCACAAAGTCCTAGGGCATGGACAGAATGCAGCCAAGTTCCTGGCCAGTTCGTAGCAAGGGTGATCTTTGCCCCAGTTTCCAATAAGTGCTTTCTCATTTCTATCTGAGACCTTCTCAGAATGGCCTTTACAATCCATATCTCTATCAGCATTCTGGTCACCACCGTTTAACCAGTCTCTAAAACATTCCAAACTTGCTTTGGTTTTCTTGTCTTCTGAACTTTCACCAGCATCTAGGCTTTTTCTAGCCCACTCCTTCAAATTCTTCCAGCCTTTCCTCAACACCCAGTTCCAAGGCCACTTCCACATTTTCAAGTATTTGTTATAAGCAACACCCCACTTCTCCGGTACCAGTTTTCTGTATTAGTCCGTTTCTGTTGCTTATAACAAAATACCTGGAACTGGGGCTGGCCCGGTGGCGCACTCGGTAGAGGGCGGCGCTTGGGAGCATGGCGGCGCTCCCGCTGAGGGTTCGGATCCCATATAGAGGCCGGTCCGCTCACTGGTTGAGCACGGTGTGGGCGCGACACCGAGGGTTGCGATCCCGTTGCCGGTCGTGGTACGGGCGCAACACCGAGGGTTGCGATCTCGTTACCGGTCACGAAAAAAGACAAAAAGGAAAAAAAAAAATACCTGGAACTGGGTAATTGATAAGAAAATGAAATTTATTGCTTACAGTTTCTGAGGCTGGGAAGTCCAAAGTCCGTCTGGTGGTGACAACAGTGACTCAGGGGTCTCACATTGCAAGACGGTGGAAGCAGAGAGAGCAGAGAAAGAGAGACAGAGTCTTCTCTCTCTTCTTTTAAAGCCCTCAGAACCACACCCCTGATCACCATTTTTAATCCATTCACTAGACGGGTCCTACAACCCAATCACCTCTTGAAAGCTCCACCTTTCAATTACCATAATAGGATTTCCCACCCTCTTAACAGTCACAGTGGGCGCTAAGTCTCTAATACATAAAACTTGGGGGACACAATTCAAGCCTCAGTGAGTTTTGGAAGACATAATTGTTTTTTTTTTTTTTTTGTCCTTTTTGAGACCGGCCGCACCACGCTCAGCCAGTGAGTGCTGTGAGCACACCGGTCATCCCGGCGGGAGCGCTGCTGCGTTCCCAGCGCCACACCCTCCCGAGTGCGCCACGGGCTCGGCCCTGGGGGACATAATTCAATCCACTATATCTGCCCTAGGGAAACGGGGGCTGAGGTCCAGGTGGGTGGCCAGCCAGTCATCTGGTCCTGGCTTCCTCCCACCCCCATCCCGCTTTTCCCCAGGCCCTGTCTAGAGAGTCAGCCATCAGATCGCAGGAGCTGCTCTAGCCTGACTCACCTGATATGGAGAAGGTGGCTGGGACTGCCCCATGTGAATGCTTTGAGGCCAATGTGCTTACCCAGAGCTGCTGTCAAAACTGCTTCCACACTGAAGAGGCCCACAGGGCAAGGCACCAGGTGGGCTGGCTTTCCTGAGTGGTTGGGGTGGTTTGGGATGGGGGAGTGGGTGATGGGCTGGGTCTGGCTGGACCACTAACTTGTAGTTGAATCCAGATGCTGGTGTTCCTCTGTCCAGAGGCTCAGTTTTCCCATCTGTACAATGAGATGGTTGGACCGTGTTAATGTTTCCCAATCTTCAGTCACTTTTCTCCTGCTATTATGATTTTTCAACCATTGCCTCATCTAATCTATTACTTTATTGTTCTTTAAGTCAACACCTTTTTTCACTTATACTGAAACAAAACTTTACATCACTACCACAAATAGAAAACTAAGATTATGTTCTATATATAGAAGGTTTAAAAAGAAAAGAAAAAGAAAGAGACAGAAGAAGAAAAAAACAGAAATGTCATTAAATTCTAACTCAAGACTGTTGTCTGCTCTACCCCAAGTCCTGCTGTCTCTTTGTCAAAAAGAGAGATTAGCAGGTGTTAGAAAGGTGTTGAAGACAGACCAGCACCCCCGGAAGACTTTCTTCTTTTTTTTTTTTTTCTAAAAGATGACCGGTAAGGGGATCTTAACCCTTGACTTGGTGTTGTCAGCACCACACTCTCCCAAGTGAGCCACAGGCCGGCCCTAAGACTTTCTTCTTTTTTTTTTTTTTCTAAAAGATGACCAATAAGGGGATCTTAACCTTGGTGTTGTCAGCACCACACTCTCCCAAGTGAGCCACAGGCCGGCCCTAAGACTTTCTTCTTGAAGTTATTGAAGGAGTGAAAGAGGAGTCATTTTTTCACTTTGTGATCATTGTGGTCTGATGCCAACCCCCTGTACACGTAAACCCAGAGCACCTGGGACACACACTGAGAAGCATGGCACCTGTGAATCTCCAGGAGCCCTTCCAGCCTTGATCCCTATGGCTCCATCATTCTCAGTGGAGTCTGAGGCTCCTCTTGAACCTGACAACCCACTTCATGGAGGGGGTTAGGCTCCAAGAAGCTGCCGTTGTAAGGGGGTTGCTGGTCAGCTTCGGAGCAAGGCAGACCAGAGTTCCAGTCCTAGGTTTGCCATCTGCCTGCAGTGTGACCTTGGGTCATTTAAGTTCTCTGGCTTCACTCTCCTCCTGGGTAAAGTGGGGACAACAGACTTCTCACTCAGGGCATCTGGCACTGCTTAGCCCAAGACACATGTAGCTAATTCAGTACATATTAATTTCCTCTCTTTCCCCTTCCTGGCCAGAAAAGTAAACCTTGGAGATTCCTTTCTACCTGACTTGATAGCTCCAATAACAGCTCCCCTGCCCTCACCCCCAAGTTCAAGGGACAGGTGCCTATAAGTTCTGTGATTCCATCTCCCATGCAAATGATCCACCCACTGGGTGGGGAGACAGCAAGCATAGAACAAGAGAATGCTGGATTCAGACAGGCCTGAGTTCTAGTCTCAGTCTTACCATTTCCCAGCTGAGACCTGGGGTCAGCTTGCATATTCATACATATTGAAAAGGTGCTTACAATGTGCCAGGCATTATGCTAGATATTGGGGAAATAGTGAAAAATAAGACAGCACATCCCTAGCTTCACAGGGCTTGTAGTCTAGCAAGGCAAATGGAGAGTTAGAAAGTAATTGTGCAAATGATTGATTAATCGTGTCTGTGATCAGTGTCCTAGAGTAATAGCAAGTGGTATGAAGGTAAATGATAGGGCATTGGGGAAATTTCTCCCAAGAAATGAAATGGTAAAGGCTGTGTGGGTATTGGCCAGTGAAGTTGGAGGTAGAGGAGAGAAAGGGAATAGCATGTGCAAAGGCCCTGAGGCAGAAGGAAGGGGCACGTTGGAGGGCTGGGGAGAGGTCAGCGAGAGGGAGGGGCAGAGGAGCTACAGGACAAGGATGGAGAATAGGTGGGCCTAGGTCTCACCGGGCCTTGTGTGGCTTTGTGGACATGCTGAGGACTTTGGATTTTATCCTGAGAATCATGGGGAGCCCCTGAAGATTTTAAACAATGGAGTGATGTGATCCTATCTGCATTTTTCAAAGTCACTCTGATGGCTGGGCAGAGAATGGAGTGCAGGGAGATGAGAGTGAATCAGAGTGACCAGTGAGGAAAAGGTTCAAATACTCATTTGTGCCAGAGAGGACAGGGGCTTTGAGATGAGGGCAAATGGACACACTTCAGAACTAACTGGATAGGAGAATCTACAGGATTTAGGCGGGGGGGTGGGGTGAGGGGCTGGGAGGAGAGCCTCTTGACGGACTCCTAAATTATTTCTCCAGGTAGGTACTTGGGATGGGAGTTGTTTGGGGACTGGTGAGTGTGAGGTGCCCTCAGGACACAGTGGAGATGAAGGGGAGGTTACTGAATCCAGGGGGTAGGAGCTCAGGGGCCAGACCATAGGAGACAGAGTCATCAGGATCCAGCACTGACCAAAGTCTTGCTCATGGATGAGGCCATAGTCTCTGGAGAGTGTGGAGTGAGGAGAGGAGAGGCCTGGGGTGGAGGCCGGGAAATCAGTATTTAAATGAAGATAACAGGAGGTAGAGATAGCCAAGAAGATGGTGATGGAGTAGCCAGAGGGTCAGAGGCAAACACCAGTGTCCCCATCCTCCCCCGGAGGCCCAGGCAAGAGATGGTTTCAAGCTCAGAGTGGGTCACTTCACTTTCTTGTGCTTCCAGTTGCTCTGATCATGACTCTACGTTGTGCAAATCCCTTCAGTTCTGCAAATGCTTGAGGGGTGACTGTTGAGTCCTTGAGTTAGGCCCCAGGACCTGACCCTGGGCAGGAGACAATTCCCTGTGTCTCGAATGTGATAGTAAAAACTGACACTCAGCCCTAGAGGATGGCAATTGCCTCTTCTGAACTTTTCTGTCTGCCTCCCTGTCCACCCCAGCTGCCACTCTGGACCCCGTTCTATATTGCTCCAGGGTTAGGTATGGAAAGAATAGGTGGATTCCTTGGGCTGTTTCCCCAGGGAACCAGGGCACCCTGCCCTTGGGTGCCACTGCTCAGGTGGCAGCTCCCCCGGGCTAGTTCTGTCGGCGTCATCCACTCTCTCTCATCTCTCTATTGAAACAGGTCTCTAGAAACCAAGTTTAGCCAGTTTTTCCTTCAAGGATTCTGGAACCTTGTCCCTATTAGCCCTAGCTTTAGGTCAAAAGATTTCAAACACATGGAGTCAAAAAACGTGTATGTTAAAAAAGCATCCCCAATATTGCTGGAGCTGTGCAGTTCCCAGGTAGATCCCTAATTACACCTGAGCACAGACCCATCTCCGCGAGCCTGGTGAAGCCATCTCCTGGAGCTCATCGAGGAAACAGGGTTGGATCCAGTTCTGACATCTTCAGCTACCCTAGAATATTCAGAAATGGTCCCAGGTCCCAGGTGCCCCCCAAGCTTGACCAACTCTTGACCAACTGGTCATGCAAAATGCCCTGGGAAGCTCCAGCCTCCCTAAGCTCCTGGGAGATGGGGGGAGGAGTCAACCCTGGAAATCACACAGCCTTGACCAGGTCATGGCCAGGTTCCAAAAGGAGGGAGGGGCCAGGTGGGAGGGTCCTGCTGTGTTCCAGGCATCACAGCTCCTTTTCAATTTATTTATTCTTAATTGTAATTAATGTTATTCTACAAATTTAATACTTATATATTTAGTGCTCTTACATTATATATTATATTTAAGATGTACAGACCAGACATCATTGTAAGCTCTTTACAAATATTAACTCATTCAATTCACCTAACACCCCTAGGAGGAGGTGTTATCATGTCAGTTTTGTGATGAGATAACTGAGGCATGGAGAGGATGAGTTACTTGGCAGATGTACAGACCAGACATCATTGTAAGCTCTTTACAAATATTAACTCATTCAATTCACCTAACACCCCTAGGAGGGGGTGTTATCATGTCAGTTTTGTGATGAGATAACTGAGGCATGGAGAGGATGAGTTACTTGGCCAACATTTTGGTGGCATTTCCACCTCTGAGAAAACAAGGCTCAGAGGGAAGAAGCCACTGGGCTGAGGGCACCCAGCTGGGAAGTGGGGGAGACAGGATCGGGCCCGACGTCTGTCTGAGGCCAGAGCCTGTGCTGACCCACCAGACGGGAAATCAGAGCTGGGGACCAACTGCTGGGCCTGCTCATGTGGGCAGAGGGGGTGATGGGGGCTGGGGGCGAAAGCAGGGAGGAGATACCATGCCAAGCTGGGGGTCCTGCTGGCCTGGCTGGGCCAGGACCCCTTAGCGATGCCAGGCCAACCACTCCCTCCTCATTCGTGCTGTGCTGTCCCCTGGGTGGCCAAGGCGCCAGGCCCGGCTGTGGATCTGACACCTCCTGCTGCTGAGCTCTGATCAGAATCTGGCTGCAGGGTAGGGGGAGAAACTGAACCCAGATGAGCCTCTTTTGGCCTGGCTGTTGTAGCAGACACCCGGCCCCCTCCTTGGCACTCCCCAGGCCCACCCCAGTGGTGGCCTTCTGGGAACCTGGAGAGCCTGTGCCCACCCCAGAGTTCTGACCAGGCTGTGGTCCTGGCCCTAGGCTCTGGGCTCCAGGGTCCCCAGGGAGCCTGTGCCCAGGCTCCCGTCCATCCTGACTTTCAGGTGAGCTGCCAGGATCAGGTTCCCGCAGTTTTGTGTCCTGCATTGTTCTTGGCTGGGCCCCGGCTTATGAAACAGTAATGAGGGGCCCCTGCTCCCGAAGCCGGCCCTCTAAGGTTTCCGCTGCCTCGGCTGCTGCCGCCGCTGCCACCACCCCGGCCCAGAGTCAGAGCCTGGGAGGGCGGCAGTGCGGGGGCCTGAGCCAGAGCCCCCCGAGGACAAGGGTGCTGACAGCCGCCAGCCACCACTGCGGGAGCCGGCTGCCCAGGTAACCTGAGAGGAGGCGGGGCGCAGGGTGCCATGGCCGCGGTCCCCCACCACCAGGGGAGGGCCCTGACATTCCTGGTAGGTGGGGAGGAATGGGGGGGGGCCTTCCTGGAGATGAGCAGCCGTTCCCCCTGGGTGAGCCCAGCACCAGCCTTCACAGGTGTGGCCTTGCTGAGGGCGGGAGGAAGAAAGGAGCGGGCAGCGGCTCAAGGCCCCTGCCCCCACCTTTGCTGCCTTGACCCTCCAGCCCTGGAGCCCCTGCCTCTCCTGTACTGGGGCAAATCTCTTCTTTCCTCCAATGTCTTGTTTTCCCATCTCCTCGTCCGTCAGGCTACTTCTTGCTCCCTCAGACCTTTCCCTACTCTCCAGGCCAGCTTAATCCTCCTCACCCGTGTCTTCTGACTACAAAAGACTCTTTTGGTTCTTTTGTGCACTTCACATCCTCAAGCATGCAGACATATACACACTCACACATGAACTTGCATGTGCTTATGCTAACATACGCGTGGGTGTACCTGTTGGACCTGCATAGGCATGCTCTCAACACCCAGATGCACTCATGTGCCCAAACACCCAGGCCTTTATGCACACACGTACCTGCACCCAGGCCCATACATGCACACAACCAGGTACCCTGGCCAGCACCTGGCGTGAGTCCCAAGGGGCACTTCCAGCCTGATGGGCAGCTCTCCTTAAGGAGTGTGAGATCCCAGGAGGAGATGCCTGGAGACTCTCCCACGCCACCCAGTGCTGGGAGGGGCTGTGCAGGGGGAGGGGAGCCCCCACGTGGGTGCCGAGCTGCCTCCTCTCTCCACCTCTGGCCCAGGAGCCCAGGAGCCCTTCAAGTGCTGAGGTGCCCTACTGCAACCTGCCCTGCTACCCGCCTGCCCCTGAGGATCCACTCAGCGCCTCAACATCCAGCTACCAGTCTGTGGTGGACCTGGGCCTCAGGTCAGGGCCCAAGAGGTGGGTAGAGCCCAGGGCCTGGGGAAGGACTCCCTGAGGTAGAATACCCTTCCTTTCCCCACTTGCACCCCTTCCCAATGGCAGTGCCTGTTTCTGATGGCTGCTGGCATAGGTCACATGGTCAGTCTATACAGCCTGGGCACGGGTGGGCAGTAGGAATGTTCCTCAGGCCCACTGTGAGAACTTAGATTAGACTGTCCCCATTTGCACGTGGGTCTTGAGCCTATCCTTCTGACCTTGGCTGTCTCCCTCAGTGGCTCTGCCTACCCCATAATTCTCCAAGACCTAGCTCAGCTTTGCTCCAGGCAGTGGGGCAGCTATGCACTCACCCTACAATGGACATGGCCCACAGCCTGCTCACATTTCTTGGTTTCTTTTGCACAGCTTTAAACGGTCCCTGCATCCAGGGCGCCTGCCATCACCCACCTACCTAGTTGACCTGAAGTCCCCCTTTGGGGTCATGGTACTTTGGGAGACCATGGCATGAGAGTCTAGAAACCTGGGTCCCAGCTTCAGATCTGTCCCAGATGGGCTGTGGGACCTTGGGCAAGTTACTCTGTCTTTCTATGCCTCAATTTCCCTGTTTGTAAAATAAAGAGAGGTTGAATCATATCAGCATTGCTTTGGGAACATGCTCCTCAGAGATGGGCATTATTTAAAAATAAAAACCAGCTCTCCTGTCAAATGTTTCAGAAGGTCTGGGATAAATACTGTTGAATAGCTTTCCTGCGGGACTTGTCAGTCTTTAGTTTACAGGCATGCATTGTGGCTTTTGGGTGGGGGAGGTAGGGAAGTCTGTAGAATGTCCCAAACATACTTGACTCTTTTTTAGGGTCATCACCTATTACCACCTTGTGGGCCAATCTGTGAGTCACTCTTTGGGGATACTACCAGCTCTAAGCCTACCTGAGCCTATGGCCACCCCAACTGGCTTCTCTAAAGCAGGGCTTTCTCTGCAGCTCCCTTCCTCAGCCCTGTCACTGCCCTCAGAGCCCTGCTGCCTCTCACATGCCCCCATTATAGTCTGTCTTCTTAGCTAACTGAGCTTGGGGCCCCCACTCCTGCTCCAGGGACAGAAGGTTGGGGCTGGGGCAATAGTCCTGGTTTACAGCACAACTCTGCCCTTTCCTACCTCTGTGACCTTGGCCAGTCTCTTGACCTCTCTGAGACTCAGGTTCTTCATCTGTAAAATGGGAATCATTATGCTTCCTTCAAAGGGCGGTTGTCTGGGCCGGCCTGTGGCTCACTCGGGAGAGTGCGGTGCTGATAACACCAAGGCCCCGGGTTCGGATCCCATATAGGGATGGCCGGTTGGCTCACTGGGTGAGCGTGGTGCTGACAACACCAAGTCAAGGATTAAGATCCCCTTACCGCTCATCTTTAAAAACAAAACAAAAAAATTATCTGTTGTGTATCTGAACTTCGCATTTAACTGGGTGTCCTATATTATTATTTGCTAAATCTAGCAATGCTCAGTTTAGGGGCCTCTGGAAGCATACAGCTACCTGAGCTTCCCATGCTACCTTCAGTGTGTCAGCTGTCCAGTTAGCAGATGGATCATTTAGGAGGCTATGGCCCCTGACTGTGGGGACTTGAACCATCCCATGTCCAGGGAGGGCCTCTGTTGTCATGGGGATATGGCTACTGTATTTTCTAGTCTCAGATGAGGTTATCACAGGCCCTTTATGCATTTGATCTCATTGACTTTTCAAAGCTTGTGGAGTGTGGGTTATGGTTCCCATTTTACAGAGCAGGAAACGGAGGCACAGAGAAAGAAGTTAGGGATATTGCCTGAGGTGACAGGCCTAGGAAGTGGCCCTAGCTCTAAAGAGCCTAGCACAGAGACGGGCTGCAGTGTTGGCCGCTCTTCTGCATGAACATGTAGCTTCCTGGCCCCCAGTGTGAGTGTGTATATCTGGATGGGGTGGGGGTGTCACTCTTTAATTCCTCATTACTTTTTGGGAAAAAGTCACAACTCTGTCTCCTCTCCCAGGGACCCGTCCTCATCAGCAGGGCTCCTTGAAGAGGGCCCAGCAGTTCACCCCAGGAGCAGGAGCTGGGAGCTCGAGGCTGTGCCCTATCTGGAGGGCCTGACCTCCTCCCTGTGTGGCAGCTGCAACGAGGAGCCTGACTCTGACACCAGCTCCAGCCCTGACTGTGACACCCCTGATGATACCAGCAACTCATCCTCTGTGGTGAGCTGGGGGTAGGAGATAGGGGGACAAGAACAGATCTGTCCTCTGTCCCTATCCTTGGGTTCCACCTCCAGTTGAGGGCTGGGCCTCTCACACTGGGAAATTAGGCTGGGGTCCTCTGGACCGTTAGTTGGCACCATGGGCCCCCTGACCTGGAGGGGCAGGGGTCTCTGCAGCCCAGGTGGGCTGAGAATGTGGCTGTGGAAAGAAGACGGAGGAAGGAGCTTCAGTGACAGGGAGCTCCGGGTGAATCAGCAGTGGGCTGAGGGTGTCAAAAACTCTGAGGTCGCAGAGGGCTGGGTGTTGGGCGTGGTGTCCACAGCAATGGGACTGGTACGTGGGCCCTGCCCTGGTCACACACTGCTGAGCCTCACGACCAGCCGTGGCATAGATTCCCAAGGGACAGAGGAAAGGGAGCAGGCAGGGGAAGGCCTGGCGAGAAGAGAACACCCAGGAGACTCTTCTAGCATTCGAACTTGGAAGGACTGCTGTGGGGCAGAAGAGGCAGGCCTGTCCTTTGACCCCCCAACAAAGGAAGGTGACAAGAACTGATGGGACTCAGAATGAAACAGCCTAGCCTGTGCACACCTTGTGGCCAGCACTGTGCTGAGGGCTCGGCGGGTGCGGGCTTATGCAAGGCTCACTCCCACCCTCTGCGCTCGTGGTTCTTACAGCCCCATTTGGGGCTGAGGCTCAGAGAGGGAGGCAATTTGAGGTGACACCTCTGGGATTTGAATCCACTTCTCTCTGGCCCCTGGGGAGTGTTTCACACAGCTCCAGCTGTGTGACTTTGGCAAAGTTTTTAACTTCAATGGACATGCCGACCTCCCAGCACTGATTGCAGAGTAGCTGAGTTAACACCTGCCAATAGCCCAGCACAGTGCTGGGCATACAGCAAGTGCTCTTTATTTATTTATTTATTTATTTATTTTTAAAAGATGACCTGTAAGGGGATCTTAACCCTTGACTTGGTGTTGTCAGCACCACGCTCTCCCAGGTGAGCTAACTGGCCATCCCTAGAGAGGGATCCGAACCCGTGGCCTTGGTGTTTACCACGCTGCTCTCCCAAGTGAGCCACGGGCCGGCCCTAGCAAGTGCTCTTTAAATATCAGCTCCAGGACTGGCCGGTTAGCTCAGGTGGTTAGAGCATGGTGTTAGAACACCAAGGCCTAAGGGTTTGGATTCCCCTACTGGCCAGCCGCCAAAAATAAATAAGTCAGTAAGTATCAGCCCTTTCCCCTCCTTCTACTCCTCTCATGCTGGGCTCGCAGGCCCTGGGGCCCTTCTTCTCCCTCCCCAAACATGCTTTTTCCTGCCTTTCCTTTGCAGGACTGTGACACTGTCGAGAGGTGGGTGGAGGCCCCCAGCCAGGACAAGCTCACCATGATGATCCCGCGGAGGCCCCAGGAGGAACCAAGAGCTGACAGTGCCCAGAGATCTCCATCTCTCCTCACCAGGTCCCCTGCAGGAGGAGACACTGCAGGCCAGAGAAAGGAGGGTGAGTCCTTCTACCAGGTTGGTTCCTGTGACTATGCATGTGGTGATGGCCTGGGGTCCCCAGATACCAGATAGCCATTTCTCTGGCCATCTGGGACCTTGGGCATGGCTTATTGTGGCCTTCATCTTAATAAACAGTTCTCATAAAATGATGGAATAGCCACGATGTGCTGTGCTAACTGCTTTAATACATCATCTCACAACTGGTGGGTTAGGATCTTTGAGTTGCAAGGGACAGAAACTGGCTGGAAATAGAGTGACTCACATAAGTAAAAAGTGTGGGTGATGTGACTTCAGGCATGGCTGGATCCAGGTGTTCAAACAGCATTCGAAATCTGGTCTCTGCTTTCTTCTATGGTGGCTTCATTCTGAGCAAGACCCTCCCCTGATAGTGGCATGATGACTACCTGCAGTGCCAGGCTGTATCCCACCTGCTTGTCAACTTCCACAGAAGGAGGGCACAGTCTTCCCAATTGATGTAGTTAAAGTCCCAGGAAGGGTTCTCACTGAAACCCAGTGTGGGTCATGTGCCCAACCTGGTGATCAGAGCCAGCGGGAGAGGAGATTCCCCACAGGAAATCAGGCTGATGTTGCCAGATGAAAGGGGGAGGCTGCTGGTGAGGCCAAGCCCATAGAAGTTGGTGACAGTGGGCAGCATCTCACTGGTCTGCGAGTCCAGCAGGCTGGATGCCAAAGCTTGGGCCCTCAATTACTACTGCACTGTGTTGCCTCCTGTTCTCTGTCTTCAGCATCAACAGGATTTGGGGATGCTTCCAAAGCATAGCTCCCATAGCACTCAGTTATCAAACACACCAGCACTGGCTGTGTGTAAAGCCTGGTGCTGGACATCTGGGGCATTCAGGAGGTGTTAGACATGGTCCCTGCTCCAGAAAGCTCTTAGTCTAGTAAAGCAGACAGGTAGGAGCTGGCGAACAGTAGCCCAGGACAGAGGAAAAGCAGAAACAGATGTGAGCAAAGAAATGAGTGAAGGGCTGGGCAGAGGAGAAAGACTCAGGGAGACAGGGAATGGCATGCTAGCTGAGGGAACAGCCTGAACAAAGGCTCAGAGGTGTGAGTAGGGAATATCCTGGCACGTACAGCTTGAGTATAGAGGGGTGTGCATAGTTCAGCCAGAACATGCTGGGCCTCAAGAGCCTAGCCAAGGAATCTGGACTTTCTTCTCTAAGTAGTAGGGAGCCACAGAAGGTTTAGAGGAGGGAGTGATGCACCTGCACCTGTGCCTTAGAAAGATCATTAGGACAGAGTTGCAAAGGGTGAATTGGAGCAAGGTGAGGCCAAAGGACACAAAATCATGTAAGAGACCATCGCAGCCACCGTAGTGATAACTAGTTCAGGCAAGAAACACTTGCTGATGCTAAATCCCCAGGTGAAAGGTTGTTGGGGGACAGGATATTCATGGTCTCAAAGTATCACCCCTCAGATTACGCATTCATTACAGGGGGGAAAGGCACCCTCAGGATGGGGAGATCTGGCAGACACCACCTTAACCAGTGTTCACTCAGCATCTCTAGTGTGGGGCAAACCAGTGTCAGACGCCTCCTGCTGCTACGCATGAGCAGGCCACGGCATCCCTTCCCTCTCAGACCTTCCTTCTAAAAATGCATTGCCTGCATGTAGCCCTCTAGCCCTGATGAAACATCAGACAAACCCACATGGAGGAACACTGCAAATAACCACCTAGACTCTTCATGGAAGACAAAAAAAAAAAAAAAAAAAAAAAA